TATATATATATATATATATTCGAAGAAGGGAACAAGAATGATGCTTGCTGATGTTTAGCTTCTCCTCTATTATCTATCTTACTTCATACATTACTTACTACTATGATTACCGGCAATACTAATACTATTATTCTTGTTACTATCAAATGAAGATAATTAAGAAGTAAACTAGTAAAATTTTATTATGTCATATGGGAAAATATAAACAAATAATAACGTTTACAAGATTTTAAACTTTGAAAAAAATTGAAGAATTGATTTTCATCTAACTCATATATTGCTAAGTTAACGTTTCTTTTCCCCCAACATCTGTTTAAAGACACTAACATTAGTTCAATATCAAGTGACCACCAACAATATTTCTTTTTTTTCCTTCAATGTTAATATACAAAAAAAAAGGAAACATGTTTTTTTGATAACAAAATTTTCAAAAGGTAAAAACAAGAAAAATAAATACACAGTAAAATACAAATATGGAGGGGAAAAGGGTAGCGAAACAATGAAATACAAGTGGGGGGGGGAGTAAGTACGTATGAAAATCCCATGATGATTCAGCCATATTATAAGAGATTATAATGTGCCTATAAATCTCTTTATTTCTCTGTAGTTCTAACGGAATATAAAGTGCCGCTTTTTGATTTAATACATGTTTTTACTGTTCCTTCATATTTCACCATTGTAAAAAAATATTTAAAATCACTTGTGAAAATCTATTTACATCTATATGGACAAATCTACACATTAAAACGTTCTAACTTACTGACCAGGTATAGTAGTATTAGTAGTAGTAGTAGTAGCATTATGCAAATAATTTAGTTTACTTCTAAAAGAAAAAAAAGAGAAACATTTCACACATTTTCACTACTTTTGTTATCTCTTCTTTTCATATTTACAGTTCTTTTGACTCTTTAAAATCCCGCTCATCAATTTTAGTCTACCTTCTAACATTTGGTTCCCTATTCAAATGTAGATCTGTTTTTATAATGAATACGAGAATATTGATTGTTAAACTTGAAATACAAAATAAATAAAATTATCCATTACTACTTAAATTCATTTAAAATTCACATTAAAACGTGAAATTTACCTTTGAGAATTAAAAATGTAGTAAAAGAAAGTATAGTAGATAGATAGAAAGATAAACATAAGGTTGAAAAGTTATTATCAGGTAATCAATTAAATTGTCTTAAAGTTGGATTAGACATGTTAATGGTTAGTAGTTGGAAATGAAAGATACATATAGATGCTTCTAGAGCTTTCCAGTAAGCTGACAATTTAAATAAAAAAACACTATTTACACGAGGATCTTCATTTGTTCAAGTACTTAATTCACAGATAACTTGACACACCCCTCAAAACCAAATTATTGACAAATGTATAATGTACTGGTGTTAAGACAAGTAATCAGTCGCTTTGTACATAAGTCACGAAGATTGTTCGTAAAACGTTGACCAAGATTTCGTATAATATTTTAAATTTTTTTGTAAATTACATCTACCATTCGGTTAAAAATATCGAAAATAATTTTCCTTTTAAGGATTATCACCCTTATCGGATGCAATGTGTTGATCTTGTTAGCTCAAATTCACAATATTAAAGTGCTCTAGTTAAGTACTGAACTTTTGTTTATAGACTGAAACTCCATGACAGGTTCTCTTAATTGAAAAAACATGAAGTTAGAGAAAATTGTGCAAAGCATATATATATATACCTTGGTTTTAAATTTTTGATTTATCCATTATCCAGGAGAACGGTATTTCTAAAACATCAATCAGATTGAATGAAAGCCATGCAACTTGACAGAAATTAAAAATGTTCATCATTGTATTTCTAACCATTAACATTCATGATTTAATACCAACCATGAGATTTAAAAGTTCTTAATTCAAGTTGATGTCGAATTGTAGAGTGACTATGATGAAAAGTCGTCAATAGGAATGAAACAACTGTGTTTATTTCTCTTGGTATTTAGTAGTTCTCTAATTGGTCGTAATCATCCTACGCCATTTCTAATCGACTTTAATTTTAACTCATTTCACAGAAAATTCACCAATAAACGAATATCGAATTGATGTAGTGAAATAGGGATTTCTTTTTAAATACTATCTTTATAGTTGCATTTGTCCTATTGAATTCAAGTCAATACTTATATGTTTACATGAATAGTTCACTTTTGTTCCATCAATCAACATTACATTTTATTTTACAGAAACTTGAACCACAACCACATGTTTATCTTGTGAATAATCATATTTTAGTAGTTCAGTAATCAGTATGTATTTACTTTATCTAACCCTAAATATATAGATATATTATGTCATGTGAAGTGTATGTACATAAGATAACATTGTTAAACTCATAATGTACATTGGTAAAATAAAATCATCTTGTAAAACATATGATCAAACCGGCTGATCATAGAACCTTTTATTTGTTTCTAAGAAGTTCTAAATTGTAGTCAAATTACCCATTTGCATTCATTGATTTAGTTCCTTTATTGTTAAAAATGTATATAAGAAGAATTCTGTATTAACAATTACTATAATCTATGCATTTTTTTCATGAAAATAGAAAATAGTACTCTAATCAGTTCGTTTTTTTTTCTCTTCATTAGTTATTGAACTGATACTTGTTCTAGAAAGTATGTCACTCAGTGACTTTCTATCGATTAACTACAACTAATTATCATCTATACCTAGTTCATACAACGTTAAGTTACTTAAACTGGTAAATACCCCGTAAATTGATCGATATAATTCATCAAACACAAAGACTAGATATAAATGATATTGGTTGCTATTAATTAATCAACAAATGTAAGTTTCTTCCCACTTCAAGATCAGATTCATATTATGTTTGTAAACACTAAAACATCAGAAATGATATGTGAAAAAATTATCGAGTTTATTGAAAGTACTAAATTGAGTCTTTATCCTTTGTTTGTTAGTCACTCCTATAATACATATGTAGAAACTTGTAGAGAAGTAAACCTGCTACAATTCAAATTTATGATTGATTGTACAGGGGTTAAAGTATCTGAACTATAAATTTGAACAGTTTTATTCTATTCATTCCCATACTGTAATCCAACACTAAGATGACAATATAATTTACTGCATTTCTATCATTTAAGTATAAGAAAACCATCTAAAGCTTTCAATTAGTTCTAAAATTATACATCCAATTGAATAACTGGTTTTCATATAGTACCACTAGGTTCTCATATATGTTTGATGACATGAACCTTTTTCGCTATTGGACCAGTACAATCAGTATTCATAAGCTATATATATATTAAATATAAGTACCCCAGTATTATTTTAATATTTATATATATATGCTAAATTTAAGAAATTATTTTTTTCTAATTTCTATCAATTACTTCTTTTCTTTCTCTTTTTTTTAAAAAAAAAAGAAAAACAGAAAGTCAAATTAAAGATTGATAATATTTTGGAATCATTTTTGGATAATAAAAGTTCAATTCTGTTTATTCATAGTCATTCTCATTTTTTTTTATTCGTTTTAACTTTGTATTTAATTTATTTATAATTTATCTTTTTATGTAAACAAATTACTAGAAAGTGAATCAACTGATAAATTACATCATTTTATTTTTAATTCAAGGTCAGATTGAAGATTAAAGCAGAAACAAATTTGTTGATTTATTTAATACTCATGATAATATCAATATTATTTGAATTTTTCTTTTAAAGTTACCATTAAAAATAATACTAAGATTTTTCATAACATTAGTAGAAATCGGATAGTGGCTAGCAGTGCAGTTCAGGACGCGCGTTTCGTCGTATTTTGGAACTCGTCAGCTGGATCTCAGAGTTGATGTCCATTCTGGGACTCGAACCCAGAACTTTTCGCTTCAAACGCCATCGGGTCATTCACTCAGCTACTGAGCCCTGAGTCCATCTTTGCTTATAAAGCTTGTGACTTTTGGTAATATCGAAGCAGTACAAAATCATTTTAAAATTCTTAAAAATTAAATAGGTAGCAACGTAAATTGGTACTTAACAATGTGAACTCCACAAATACTTTTTATGATTTTGTATACATCAGTTTAAGTAACCCAAATTTTATTTCAATTTCAGAGCATGCTTTTTTCTAATCACCAAATGATACAGGTTATGTTTATTATATCTAGTCATTAGACAGATATAAAACTGAATAAACTATCGAACGATTTCGATTTCTACTTATTTACACCCCGTGGAACATTTAATCCGATGAATATCTCAACTGTTATATAAGTATATTATTTGCATACGAGATATAACGTAAGTCTAATTTTAATCTTCTGATTAATTTTAGTAAGACTGTTTAAAAAAAAAATGAAGATGTGTTGGTTAGAAATGAATTAGTTAGGAGCAAAATATTTGAATAAACTTCATCTGTTGAGATTCTTATATAAGTTAATCTAAATACTTAATAGACTATAACATCTTATCATGTAGATTACTAATTACATTCTATATTTTCATAGCTAAAATTATGAGTCAATTGAAGCTGTACCATCATGGAAAACCTGGAAACACTGGAAGGCCGTTTCGTCCTATTACGACACTCCTCATAGTGAGCATCCACTATCCCGACTCGCGAGATTCGAACCCAGGACCTATCAGTCTCGCGCGCGAGCGCTTATCCTTTAGAACCACTGAGCTGGCCGGCATCCAACGGTGTTAATGTCTAACTTCAACCAATCCACGAAGTTTGAGCAAACGTTCACCAATTGTCCTCAATTAGTTGTTATCTCACAACAGACGTGGTTGAACTTCACTCGTCACTGCTTCCCACTAGAACTCCTGGACATATATCTTGAAGTCAGTAGGACAAAACGGCCATCCCGTGCTTCCAGGTTTTCCATAGTGGTCTAGCTTCAATTGACTCATGTTTTCAACTATGAAAATACTGAAATCTTTACAAAACCCCTTCTGATTACATTCTATACATTGATTCTGTACATTTTCATCAAATCAAAATGATCGGAGTCATAATTAAATTACTTTACTCTGATAGATTTATATTCAAATGTCTTTACAATTCATATATTGTTTCAATTAAAAATTAATTTGAATAGAAAAACAAATTATGTATAAATATGTAATTTGACAGTAATATTAACTAATATGCTAATATCCATTGAAGAACTAATGATGAAAAACAAGAAAGTAGAGATAGTTACCCATTTATAAAGTTGATTCATTCTATACAAAATTGTACACAACAATAAAAATAGTTGAATTTTAACTTAACAGCTAAAAATTGTATATATATTTTAATTGTTAATAAACAACATACACAAAGACTTGACTTTAAGTCATAATCTTATTTCACATTACTACTAATATAGATTGATGTAAAGTTTCCAATTAATTAAGTAGTATATAGATACTTCATTTAAATACTTTCCTTCCCATTCTTTAAATTAATATTATTACCAAATGAAGTTTACTTTCAAATTATTCAGCATACTATCATCATATAAAATATCTTTAGTAATATAAATATAAAAAAGGGAAATTCAGTTGAATAGAACAAGTCATACATAAAAAGAAGAAAAAAAACAAACAACTAAATCAAATAACAATCATTGATTTCTTTTATTTATAAGTAGTATTATTAGTAGTATTATATCAAATTATTGTGTTTAAATACAATTTTTGTTTTTTATAGAAATGATAAAAGATCATTGTAAAAATTAGACTTATTTGTAAATAATGTTTTTTTTTATGTAGTCATTTTGTGCGCTTTATTTTTTAGGGTAACTCAGCTAACATATTCCCACTTGTATAGGAACTCTGTCTATTAATCTTTTTCTTTTTCTTATCTTCAATGTGACATAAATTGGAACATATCACTCTTTTTTTCACACAGATCATATACATTCAATAAACAGACTAATTAATGATCATTTTCATTCAAATATAAGAAAGGTAAAAGATAGAAGGAAAGAAAGAAATTAGACAACCACAGGTAAAACATGAATGACTAAAAATGGTCTGATGCTCATGTGTGTGTGAGAGAGAGAGTGAGTGCAAATTTATGAAGTGGTCAAAATGAATCAAATCAAAAAGCGACATAGAGAATGAGTAAAGAATTAAGAAATTGTTTAAGACATTGTTACTAAACCATTTCCAATTGTTTTAAACCTTAACACATTGACCAAGAAAAAGAAAGATGATAAGACAAGTTGAACTGTAATATAGAAATGAAAGATATTAAAATAATAATGAATAGATAGTGAATATAAAGTTAGATAATATTGCATTTATATGTTTCATTGAACTGGTATATTGTTGAAATAAAAATTGAATGAATCAATAATGTGTACTATATTTTGAATGAATAAAAACTAAAAGATGTGCGTTTCCAAAGTGATTTTATTTGTTATTCTGCATTTTATTGAGGTAGTTTAAATAATGAAGTGTACTACTGATAAGTGTAATGTTATTTACAATGTGTATATTCGTTTGTTTGATGAAATGGACATTATGATTAGTCGTGTTTTTTTCTCTCAAAAGAAACTGATCAGTACCAATTGGAGGAGTAATTGAAAGAATAAAGTACAAATGAAGAAAAGAGCTTGATTGTTGGATTTATTTTACTTAAATAATACGGACTTTTCTTTTCTTTACCCCCTTTTTTCTGTCTCTTCGCACGGAATAGTTGTATATTTTTCTTCAAAAACATATTTTATTGAAATTAGAATATTGATATAAAGGAAGAATCAGATAGTATACTGTTGTATGTATAGTTTCGTACAAATTTTAGACCTTTTAGCTGTAATCTCAAGAATGCCAATTCTTGTCACATTCATTGCGAAACATTAAATTTTCTGTATTATTTCCAGTTTGTTGAGCTTTTAAATAAATACTATCCGGAATATGAAAATTGGCGATCTTCTCTGATTGATTTAAAGACCATGAATGTTTATTTGATACATTCATTATGCTTCGATTATGTTCTTTTCTTCGGGTTCTATTTATCCCTTCATTAATATCATCTTCTTCCTCATCACCATCTTCTACCTCTTCTTCTTCCTCTTCTTCATCTCCTTCTTCGTTGTCTTCATCCTCATCTTCAACACCATCATGTTTACCACGATGAATATGTCGTGATTTATTACGTTGTGTTAATATGTAATTATTTTTCAAATTTCTATCTTTATCAGAGAGATTATTATGATCTATAGAAAATGTATTACGATCCATAATAATTCCACTAGTTGAAATTGTATCTAATGAATTAAATTCTTCCAGTGATAATCGTTTACGTTTTATACATTCTTCATCACTATCATCACAAATTGATGAAGTTTTATGATTTTTTCGACCAATTGTTGAAATAGTTGAACCTTGTTCAGCTAGTTCTAATTGTTCCAATGTACCAGGACCATTTAATTTAGCTATATTATGATCTTTTTTCCATTTCATTCTACGATTCTAAATAAATAATTAAACAAAAAAGAGATTTAATAATGAATCGCATTATTAGTATTGAAGTAACTTTTACATTAAGTAATATATCATTACATTTGCTTATTGATTTTTCAAAAATAAAGATTAAAATCAGTAGTATATAGTTTTTAACGTTTAATTTAATGTTTCTATATGTAATCAACTTAGTTACCACCTCAATAATAACAAATATGTCATATTTTCATAGTTGAAATCATGAATCAATTGAAGCTAGACAACCATGGAAAACACGGAAGCACTGGATGACCGTTTCGTCCTATTATGGGACTCCTCAGCAGTGCGCGTCCACGATATCGCACTCCCGAGACATTACAATGATATATATGTTCATTTTAATACTGTTTAGTATTTTCTGGAAACAAATGTCAATTCACGTTGTAATTTGGTTAAATAAAAATATTTTTTCCTGTAAAAACGAACCAATCTCAAAACAATGAAATAACTAATGTTTGTTTAAATTGTTGACTGATTTAGATTAACTATTATAATTTAATCTAATATAACTAATATATTTGTTTTAATGGCTACTACTACTGGCAAGGATTGGCCAGGTCAGAGTTCGATCGAGAATGTTGGTGGGTGGCCTATGCTCCTCAAAAAGGGGTAAAAGCCGTAATTAAGTAGTTAACTGGTGATTTATTTTTTCTCTAAGACTAAACAAAACTAATAAACTTTTTCAACATTTCATTCAACTTGAAATACCTTTTTTCGGTCGGATTTTTTTTGTATACGTCCACTGAGTTGCATAGTAATGCATCGATAATGATGAACAAACCATTTAAAAATTTAATAACTTGTTAGAATCTCTTAATGTCCGTTTTTATAACCAAGTGAGTGAATCAATATGAATTACTAGCAAGCTGTAACTGATAGATACATAGACCAGTGCGACGTTTTGCATAAAAAGCTTTTATCAGACGAACAAATTTCAATGTATAATTCTGATTTAACTATAATTTTCATAGTTCAGTTTAATCCAAGCAGTTAACCTGCTGAATATTTATTTGTTACATTTGGTACATTCTACATTTTCAAAATATAGACATTCATACAAGTGAATTATCACTGAAAAGTAACCAGTGTTATGTATGCCAAGTCCTTCTTAGTGTTTGAATTCTATTGACCAAGTGGTATAACTCCTCTCAAGAATACAAGTACACTTTGTTGACGATTGCAAAAAAGTATGACACTTAGGTTTAAGGTTTTCTAAAGGAAAGCTTTAGGATAATTGAACATTGAATTCATTAGAATGTATAGTTTCAATTGGAAAAGATTTGATTATTGTGTATCCTTAGTGTACAATGAAAAATCTGCTACCATTTATATTTAATTTGAAGATGTAAAACAATATAGGTAATAAATAATGAGATGAGGTATATAGACAAAACGATATGAAAAATAGTACGTTAGAGGAAAGTGGAAAGAAATATATGTTTAAGCGAAAAAGTATACCATTAGACATATTCAATTTTTAGTAAGTGTCCTTTATATTTATATCTTTTGTTGAATATATAACTCCCTGTCATTTAGTTAGTCTTCTATTGTTTTAAATACAATACTTTTATTCGCATACATACAAACTGAGAGGGTAAACTAAAGGAAACTGTGTTTACCTTTTTTTATAATAACCAAAAACTGGCAAGGAAAATAACATACTGAAAGAGATAATATTTCATGCCTACATTATATTAGAAACAACATAGGAATATGACAGGAGGGGAGTACGAGAGAAGTACAAAATTATCTGGGGGTTGGATAATGAGATTAAATAGTTTTAAAAGGAGATAGAGAAGAATGAATGCGATGAATAGGTACATGAATGTTTTTTTACTGAAGTAAAGGGGTAACATATAGAAATATATTAAATATGTATATTGGTGGTATAGCGATGATTTACAGATTACCACCAAACATAATAACATTCACATTTTTTACATCTGTGACTAATAAATTTATGAGATTGTCAATTATTTGTGCAAAAGATTTTGTTCTTTTAAAACTACTTTAAATTATGATATATACGATCATCTTAAATGTCTGAATATTCTTGAAAACAGTCGATAAAACCAGATGGTCTTGGAGGATTTCGATCGTTAAAAAAAAGAATGATTTATATATGTTTATTGTTCTAAGAAATATTCATATTATTATTGACTGAAGATGAACGGATTCTCAAGTTGTCAATGTCTGAAATCGAGTTACAAAATCTTGTTATTCATAAAATTACTCATCTTACCGTAATACAGTGTGATTTGAAGTATTATCTATTATAACACCCAATTTATTAAGAACACTGTTTGTTTGTTTGTTATTAAGATGCAATGTAGTTCATTTTAAATAAATAAAATGCGATCAAGAAAAAGTGATTCATTTGTTAAATACCCATTCAAATTGTGTTTGTCAAATACATAAAAACAGTCTACGGCTCAGTGATCTATCTGTTAAGTGCTCTGGTGCGAGAATGGTAGGTCCTAGGTTTGGATCTCGCGAGGCGAGACCGCGGATGCGCACTGCTGAGGAGTCCCATAATAGAACGAAACGGCCGTCCAGTGCTTCCAGGTTTTCCATGATGGTCTACCTTCAATTGACTCATGATTTCAACTATGAAAATACTGAAATGTTTACAAAACCCCTTATGAACATAAAACCAGATCGAACTGTTGAATTTCTTTCCTTATAAAGTAAACAAAGAACAGTGGTTGAAGTTTATTACCTGTTCGAAGCAATCAATTCTAAAAAGGCTATTGAAATTTATTTAATTAAAGAGGAACGGTTATCTATTATAAGCAATGATGGACAGTGACTAGCAGTGGAATCCAGGACACACGTTTCGTCCTATTTGGGACTCGTCAGCTGGATGTACCTGCATCTCAGAGTTGATGTTCACTCTGGGACTCGAACCCAGTACCTTTCGCTCAATGGGAAGATTTAAACAAACAATATCAAGTGGTTATATATTTTGTTGATAAGAGTAATAGAAAAAATGATAAAAGTTAATAAATGTATCTTATCTTTTGTAATAGTCTTATTAACAATATTCACAATTCTATATCAGTGAATTGTAAAACACTTGCACATTTTAAGTTGCTTGATAGAATGTGAATAATTTGATATATAAGTTAGCATGACATTATATTATCAGACATAATGAACGTTCATTGTTTTTGTTTTTTTAAATCAACTACATCATTATAAAGGTCCAGTATACGTTACGATGAAAAATTATGTTTATTTCTATTGAAAAAAGCGAATATCAAAGTAGATCTTATTTAACTAACCCGTAGTCCGTCCTATTTGGGGCTCATCATTTAGATGTGCTTGGATCTCTGAGTTACTGTTTACTCCAGGATTGTTATTACATCCCATAAGCTTCAAACGCCGCTATATTATCTACTTAGCTACTGAGACCAGGTACCTACTGGCTTGCGCAATAGGATGAATTATAATTTTTATATAATAGTCGTTTGTATCTTGCTACTGATTCACATATGCCAAAAGAAACTAATCGATTACAATCCTGAGCATCGGTGAGAAGATCCAAACAACCAATGTATGTGAGTTGTGTTTTAAGTTGTTGTAACACCTAAGGTTGTTGAAAAATAAGTAACCATTATGGTCCTGTAACAAATTGGACAGGCTAAAATAATGCATGCTGAACTTGTATCTCCAGAATAACTGAGTACTGAGTAACAGCTATTGTTAAGTCATCCACTTTGTGATTTAATTACATCGATCAGATTGCAGTGTGACTACTGGTCCAAAAGACAGGACATCACATAGTTGTAAAAAGCACTCAGTAAGAAATTTAGCGCTACAGTTTCCTACTATATGGCATTTATTCTTTTGATAACTCCTAATAAATACAGGTAATTAATTTTTTTTCAATTCGAATTCATTTATTTTTAACAATGTAAAATGACAGAAAACTCACTAGTTACATTGTCAGGGAACATTTATCTCAACTGAGCGATTTAAAGTATGGAAATCCTCCAGTATTCACTAATCCTTCCATACCAGTGATTAGCTTCAAGATACAACTATTGGAGTTTTAATAAAAAGCTGTGGCCAGTAGAATTTAACCATGTCAGGTATGAGACAGTTATCCACTCCATGCAGTTGATGATAGTTGCTCTGAATGGTGGATTGATTAAAATTAGACCTGTACACCTATAGATATCAGCTCAGTGGTTCATAGGTTTAGTGTCTGCGCTAGAGACAGTAAGTTCTAGGTTCGGTCCCCTACGACTGCGTATTGAAGACTCACTGTTGATTAGCCTCATACTAGGGGGAAAGGCTGTCCAGTGTTTCCAGGTTTCCAATAGTTATCTAAGATCAGTTCCTGGTTTAAGCTGTGAAAATTCTCTAGTTTCCACAAATCCACCTATACTAACAATTACTAATTAGTTAGATATAAGTTATCCTGACTGAAACGCCTTTATTAGTTAATATTATTTAATATTGTAATTTAACCGTAGATTGTTTTATTGTATGTAACAACAAATTTGAAAACCTATTAATAACCATTAGTTAGTCATAAGCAATGTAGAAACTAACACGTATGTATGCAGGCTCAAATTCCTGCGTCATATTAACATATAGCGATAAAATTATCAATACAAATACAAGAGTAGTGAAGGTAACAATCAGTATCAATGGTAGTAGAAAATAACAAACATGGACAGTACGATCTTACAATAAACGATGAATTTATAGAACTTAAAAAAAGTGTTGGAAAGGGGAAAACAAATAGAGAATATGTATGTATTATTGAAACCACTCCTGTGTACTATTGCCCAGTACTTCCAAGTATTAGTTACAATAATCATACAAAAGTAATTAGTAATAAAGACTAATGTATGAATTTATCTAAGGGAAAATATATCATCTATCTAACTTACTTGAAACCAAATTTTAATTTGTCTTTCTGTTAATGTAAGTGTATGTGCTATTTCAATCCTTCGTCTACGTGTTAAATATCTAATAAGTAAACAAAAAAATACAAGTAACTTATTACATTTATAATAATATAATTTTATTTATTTTTAGCCATATAAAATAATATTATGGTTGAAATCATGAGTCAATGGAAGCTAGACCATAATGGAAAACCTGGAAGTACTGGACGGCCGTTTCGTCCTATTGTGGGAATTTTCAGCAGTGCGCATTCACGATCCAAACCCGCGATATTCGAACTCACGACCTATCAGTCTCAGTGCTCAATCTCTAAAACCACTGAGCCGGCATCCAACGGTGTTAATGTATAACCCCAACCAATCCACAAAATTGAGCAACCGTACACCATTGCCTTCAGTGAGTTGTTATCTCACAATAGACTTGATAGTCTAGTTTCAATGGACTTATGATTTCAATTATAAAATGACTAAAAATCTCCACAAACCCCCTTCATATACAAAATAATAAACAATTGATTAGTAAACATTCATAAAGGGAACATTGATCTCAATTGAATAAATAATCTACATCAATCATTATTGGTTATGAAAATGATTAAATTATTTCAAACTTTATATTTAATCAAATAAGTTAGATAACTTTAAACTTTACTCGTTTCGTATATTTGATTAGTCATAATTCTTTCCTTTTTAAGAATCATCCTTTCATGTTACACCTTCTTGTATACTTTATTTATTATTCATTAGAACAAGAATTGAATTAAATAAATAATGAATTATAATCAGAAGGGGTTTGTGGAGATTTCAGTATATTTCCAAGTTGAAATCATGAGTCAATTGAAGCTAGACCACCATCGAAAACCTGGAAGCATTGGACGGCCGTTTCGTTCTATTATGGGACTCCTCAGCAGTGCGCACCCACTGAAGGCAATTGGTGAAGTGTCGCTCATAATTCGTGGATCAGTTGAAGTTAGACATTAACACCGTTGGATGCCGGCTCAGTGGTCTATCGGTTAAGGGCTCTGGCTCGTAACTGGTAGGTCCTGGGTTCGAATCTCGCGAGTGCGGGATCGTGTTTGCGCACTGCTGAGGAGTCCCATAATTGGACGAAACGGCCGTCCAGTGCTTCCAGGTTTTCGATGGTGGTCTAGCTTCAATTGACTCATGATTTCAACTTGGAAATAATGAATTATTTTGTTCTCCTGTTAATTATATATTATTGGTCATTTACTTTTTTTTATCTCTCTTACAGGAAAAATCAATATAAGACATTTCACAAATGGATTATATTCCTATTATAAGTTTTTCTTCTCTAAAATGTTATGAGTAAACGTAATGAGTAGATGAATTTGGTGTATTTGAATTAAGTACACCACCACTACCAACAACAAAAACAATGTATATAGTAATCAGAAGTGTTCGTTTAAGAGAAAGAACGAACTAGTTCATTATTTGTAACTATAGTAATATTTCAGTAGTATAATAAATTAATGTTATAAGAATACAGAAAATATTATTATTATTAAACATCTAAACGGTTATTTACAGAAAACGGAAAAAGAACTGAACTTAGTTAATCTGTGATCGATTGATATATCAATATTGTAACAAGTGAATAACATCATCTATTCAGTGTACAATGATCCATTTTAAAATATGACGTAATTTATTGACTGTTGTTTCACGTGACGAGTTAACCGTACTTGAAAATGTTTACTAGTGTATAATAGCTCAGTGGTTCCGGTGGTTAGTCGTTCGTTACTAGACCTTCATGTCATTGGTGCACTTCCTAGTGGAATCATAAATTCATATTAATTGAGAGTCCTATGCTAGGAATTAGGTCACGACAGCTTTATTGTGTGAAGCTGAAATTTGAAGAAGTACATAACCATCAACGAAAAAGTACAAGTATTTATAAACAAATGTCTACTCAATATACTGCAAATTCATTAATCAGAGACCATCAGTAGTAACCTTCTCTAACAGAAAACGAACTATCCGCTACTTAAAGGATAAATCAGGAAAGGATACTGAAGGTGGATACGATAAGTTCTCTCGTAAACATCAAACTACATTACTAGGATAAATGAAAATAGATAGATTAAATTAAAAATGGAGTTGTGAATTGAATGAAGACATCAATACTATGAATGCCATTTGTTTACAACTGAAGAGAAGAGCCTAAAGAAAATTTGGTTGAAGAACCCTACTACACACTCTGAGCCCTAAAAGTGGTGACCAGCCCAAGCAGATATTAAGTAATGCTAGGATCAAACAAGTATTTATTCCTCCCTGGTTCTCAAAAGCATCTCAACTGAGATTATTACATTATGATTATCACATGAAGTCATGCATACAAAACCATTTGCCCTCTTTTATTATTTTCACAGTTGAAATCCTCGGTCAACCTAAGCTAGATCATCATTGAAAACCTGGGAGCACTGAATGGCTGTTTCTTTCCAGTATGTGTCTCCTCAGAAGTCTGTATCCACGAGTGAGAGGCCGTGACCAGTGGAGTCCAATCCACGTCGAGTATGAAACAGTTATCCACCTCAGACAATGGATGAAAGATTGCGCAAAATCATGGATTGATTGAAGTTAAAAATTACCACCACTGGATGCCGGCCCAGTAGTCTAGATGTTAAGCGTTCGAGCGTGCGACGGAAAGCTCGGAACTCAAGTCCCACATGGGTCATGGACGTTCACTTCTGTAGAATCTCATGCTTGGACGTAACAAATGTTCAGTGCTTTCAGGTTTTCAATGGTGGTCTAGCTTACATCAAATCGTAATTTCAACTGTGAAAATACTACTCTTTCCAAAAATCCCTATAATTTTATTATTATTTTAAAAATGACTTACTTGTTAAAATGAAATTCTTTTTCCAACTCTAAAGTTTGATAACGAGTGTAGGTTTGTCGAGTTCGTTTTTGATCAACGCTAATATCTAAAATATAAATTAATAATAAAACTAATTATCAAACAGAAGACGAATTACAAATGAGAAACAAAAAAAATAATTCACTTCTTATTGCATGATCCTAAATGAATATTAAAAGTATCTTAGTCTAGAAAAAATACCTTGTTGTTGGGCAAGAATATAAAAAAGAAGGGTAAATGAAAAGAAATTCACTCCCGGTATAAGTAATACCAGATGGCACAGTTGAATATTTCAAATTAAAAGAAAGAGGTAACTTATTAAATCGATCGTAATGGATAAATTGAATATTCTTGTTTGAAATTGATAGCGTTCATTTGGAAAAAAAACAAAAGGAGTTTCACTTGTGATTATTGTTAGTTTTCAGTGAAAAACACTCATTTTATCATATAATCCTGTTCGTAAGATGAATCCTTCAATTTGATTAAAGCTTGAACAGAATTTCAGGCAAAATGCTCTTCTATCTAAATAGATTAGTTGAATTTAAGTTTAAAGACCATTTTCATGATATATATATGTCAATTTTATTAGTTGAGATCATGAGTCAATTGAAGCTAGAGGTTATGCGTTCTCTTGCGAGACCGATATGTCCAGGGTTCGAATCTTGCGTTGTGGGATCGTGGATGCACACTAACAATAGAACGAAATAGCTGTACAGTACTTCCAGGTTTTTCGTGGTGGTCTAGCTTCAATTGATTCATGACTCAACTATTAAAATTACTACATTGTCTACAAAACCCTTTCTGATATAATTATATGAGTTTGAAACTTATTAGAGTGACAAAACACTGATTAACTATTTGCTATTGATTTAAGATTTATAAGTATACACTCATGAGATTAATCGAAGATTCACCTTTTTTATATAGTTGAAATCATGAATCAGTTGAAGCTAGACAACCATGGAAAACCTGGAAGCACTGGACGGTCATTTCATCCTATTGTAGGACTCTTCAGCAGTGCGCATCCACGATCCCGCCTCTCGAGATTCAAACCCATGACCTATCAGTTCTACAATAGGACGAAACGGCCGCCCAGTGCTTCCAGGTTTTCGATGGTGGTCTAGCTTCAATTTACTTATGACCTCAACTATATAAAATTACTAAAATTTCCACAAGACCCCCTTCTAAAAATAAATTATACTGTTCATATTTTCATATTGTAAATAATCAATTTATAAGTGATTCAATGTAAGTTATTCCGGGGAAAATTATCAAAAAAATGAGATTTTATATCACAAAGTAAAACAATATATCACAGTGTTACTTATTATAATAGACTTTTAATACTCAACCTAATCCTTTGTTGAAGAGGACAAAATGAATGAATGTTAAAGAATGTGTAAGCAATAACGAGTACCCAAAGAAATTTATTGGGAAATATAGGAAAAGTAAAGATGAAATGCCTAAAAAAACATTAGATAAGAAACTTATTGCTCTCTTAAATCAAATAAAAAGAAACGAAGTATGCGAAACTGATCCCTTCTGCTTTACATCATTTTCAATTTGTTTATCGATGTGAGTATTTTACCGGTCATTAAAAGTGTTTAAAACTTATCATTTGATTCGAAAGGCTGGCTAAAAGTGAATAACAGATAACCAATAAATGTGTGCGTACATCTTGTATCACAGGCTTTAAGTAGTATATATATATATATATATATATATATATATATATATATTCAAACTTCTGTGCAATATCTAAAACAAGCTTTACGAAAAGATCTTTTTCAATAACTCTGACACTTAGCAGTGATTGAGTTACTATGCATCAACTAAGTTATCATTATAACGGTCTATAATATGTCTAGTTGACTTGCTGTAGTGTATAATCTATCAATGATGTCATATTTTATGCACTGAAGGAAAGTTTCTTTACTAAAAACATCATACATTTTTAACTACGAACAACTGTAATAAAAACTAACTATTTTTGCATTATGCACCTATGGGCAATATTGGAAATCTATATAATTTTTGGTATTAGGCGGTTGAATATAGTCAACGAGATACCCTGGATTTAGATCTACTGGTTGGCACTGGTCAGCAAGGCATATCTGTAATCTTGAGGAAACTGATCTTGTCTATAGGGTTCGAACTGGGATCATCCAGCTTCATAATCTGAAATTTACTTGTAAAATATCACAACAAAAAATTTCGTTTCTTTTTAAATAATAATATGAAATAAGAAACTACATAATACATAATTTCGATAATTCAAAATGTTCATGATTGCCAAGAATCCTAAACAAGAAACAACTTAAGACGAAGACAACATTTATAAATTCAATCTGGAAATTTCCATTTGAAAGTATAATTGATGTGAAAAATAAAGAATATATAATGGTTAGCACATTATTTTAATCCTAAGGTTATATGTTATTATGAGGCTTTGTGTCAGTATGCAAACACTTCTGTGCAAAAGTATAAAACCCCTGATGCAAGAGTCATTTATAGGCAACACTATAAGAAGTCAAACCAGTTAAGAACTAGTTTATTTGGAAGATAAATGGGAACAAATGATTTTCGATTAAATAATCCAGTGAACTGCGAATCTCCACGATGGCCCCAAAGTTATTTGTTTTAATTTTTATGGTTATTCACTACTGGAAATTCACAAATTAACCTACAGTAATTCTTTAGTGTTCTGTATTATTAGTGGTTGCCTAATTAATATCATTAGAATGAAAATTACTCCTAAATTATTTGTATTTCCCATATGATCACTTAATTAAGTATAGTCTATTGTTATTCCTTATAGTAGACGATGGACAGTTTTTTTCCATTCAGTTATTCGTTTGTATATTTTGGCTAGTTTATTTAAAATAATTTACACGTATGATTTACTCAAGCAACTGAAAAAGAGTGTTTATTTACAATGATTGAGTTTATTGTTAATTTAATTAAATCATCATGAGAGATATTAGCAGTAAACTACTGAGTTTGAATTCCTATCTGCTTGATGAGTAAGTTTAAACTTAGTTAAGAAACTATGGGTATTCTCGGATAATAACTAAAATCGTAAACTTTGATGTACCGTCTTGTTGCTAAGCTACATAAATCATTCAGTCGAGTTCATCTTAAAGTACTGGGAAAGTGATTAATATATTACTTATGGAAAAAGTTAGTTATAATGCTTATTTCACGTACTTTGATTTAGACAGCATGACATTATATTTCGACCCCGTACTTAGTGTCATTCAAAGACAGTCAACTACATAATAGAATTTTTTAGTTTTCGATTTTCATCAAGATTAATTTACAGAAATGGTGGAAAATATTTGTAGCTCATGGTAAGCATTTCAGAGGTATTATATCCTCTGAGCTGGAAGGTTTAGTCGTGAAGCTTTCGTCGTCCTTCTGGACAATAGCATCAACTCTTATTTCCATTTGAAAGGGGGTGATGAAAGCTTTAAAACCAAACGATATAGCTCAGAGAACAGAGCATCTATATAAAGATTAGTTCATTGAATCTATGAATTATTTTATTCATCCATAGAATTTATTGTAATTATTAGACTAATATACCTGGTTTCATGTACAATAATTTAAAAGAAGCGTTTGATTACATCTTATCATCTTTGTCACTTTATTTCTTTATTATACTATTTTGTATGCTCCAAAAAAAAACAAAAAAATTCCATTCAGATTACCATTGGATAAACGATTTCAAATACCACACATTAGGTGTAATCGGAATAGTAATGGTTATAATAATTGATTAAGTTAGTCCTACATTTTTCCCTCAGCAAATATGACAGAAAGAGGCCTGGAAAAATAATAATAATAACCGTAATAATCATTAACCAACTATGCTTCTCATTGGTAACTAAGGCAAATCTCTTCTTTTATACAACGTGTATGTGTATATGTATATAATCATTATCTTGCTTGCCAAACGAAAAAAGAGATATGGGTATCTATCAGAAGAGATGGTAATGGTTATTAAAGAGTGTAAAGAAACAAAAACGAAGGCAAATATATTCAATTTGGCTAAAGAAATAAATAGAATCTGACCTAGACGGTCTACTACATAAATATTTCGACAATTTGATTGTCTATAAATCATTGTGCTAACTAGCTGGTAGTTCATTTTTTTCTACTTATTTTTACAATCTATACAGTGTCAGGCAAAGATTTATGATATATATAACTTAATTAGTAATTGACTTAATTCCATTATTATTAATGTAGTAGTGGTAATAGAAGTTTTATGAATTGAACCATTAACTCACTTGATCGATTTTACTAAAACTTCTTACTACTTTACCACATTTCTATCAGATTTACATGTGTAAAGTGAATAAATTATGGTATAAAAACCCATATAAGAGGTCATTTAAACATTACACTGGTATATATTAAGATATTAGGATAAACATATCATTGGAAAACTGATTAGTAGGCAATTTGTACTATGGTTTATGATAGAAGAGAACTAATCGTTTTACATTGACGAAAGTACTGAATAATGTATTTTGTCTTGTTTTGTTCTAAAAGTCAATATAATTTTTTATTGTATTTAGGTCATAATCAATGTGAAATCCACTATTTCATACGTATAACATAAAATAATGTTGAATGTAATACAATACTTAGGAATTTCTAACTGTAGAGTCTGAAGAACTTATTGAAAGCAAGTATTTACTCAAGTATTCTTTGTTTTTGAATAATGTGCGCAGAATTTTTAATTGACGAATTTCATTTGTCAATATGCTTTTTTTTAAATTTCTTTCTTGAATTATCCACATGTCAATTCTTAAACAAATAAACTGGATTTTTTTTTGTACCTACGTTTGTGTGATTGTTGTGAACATATCTGATTGGATCTATACGTTTTGATATTATATTAGAATTTTAGATACATACTGTTTACTTATTCAATGATTTCGGTGTTTACAAATATGTACAGATACGTATAGTTGAAACAGATTAGGGAAACTATTGGACACTATTCGGTTGTTAGTAATTATTGATTAGATCTTTTACTCAAGATTTTATATATATATA